ACAACAACAACAACAACAACGACAATAATAACGAACCACTGTAACAACGACAATAATAACGAACCACTGTAACAACGACAATAATAACGACAGTCTGTTACTCCGCTAGGTTGACGGATTCCTGTTCTACCACAAGCGCACTCACTACACGTTCGGACCGACGCCGCTGGTCGGATGGCTGAAGCCCTACATGATGGAGGAACTGCTGGGAGTAGCTGTGCCGGAGAAGCATCGGGCCGGCATGCCGCCGCACTACGCCAACCTCCGGCAGCACATAGCCGATTGGGAGCGGGAGAGCAGAGAAGCGCGGAAAACGCGGAAGCACAGGGGCGGTGGCTGCGACAACAGGGGCGGTGGCGGTGACAACAGGTTGGCGGCGACAACAGGTGCGGCGACAACATGGGCACACGCGCGAAGCGCGGAGCGAGATGCGATGGTAATGGCCAACGTGATGGCCTTTTCGTCGCGGTGAGTGGGCTTCTACATTGGGGTTGAGTGCATCGCCAACCAATACATGCGCAAGGATGTTACTTGTGATTGTACACTCAGTGTATACCTCTAAGTAATGCCGTCAAGTGTATGTCCTGAATGAATGTAACTATTAATGTACCGCCGAAGTGAAGTACACTAATTAGTATAGCAAAGTAAAGCCCACACAAATTAACTAAATTGAAATGAACTGCGCAATGTACTGGCGTATGGAAGTAATGTATGGGGTAATACTATAACCCCAAGAAGTACACTATGTGATTACAATAATGAATGCAGCGTCAAGTTATGTAGGCCTCCACCAAATATTTTTACCCCATGAGTGACACTAAGTAAATGCGACAACTCCACTGTATCCGCTAATGAAGTGTATAATAGAGTTATTGCTGCCAAGCCAGGTCCGACGGTGATACCTGACGGTGACACTGCCGAAGTGTGACAGGCACATCTTGCACCGGACACGGGACAACGGTGCCTAGCGACGCTTGATCACGGGGACACGGTGGCCCACGACGCCGGACACACGTGACCAGCGACGCCGTGACACGGGACACAGTGCCCACGACGCGTGAACACGTGGGACACGGCTGCCCACGTCACGCGTAACACAGGGACCACGTGCCTACGGACGCCGGACACGGGGGAACAGTGCCCACGACGCGGTGACACGGACACGTGCCCACGACGCCGAACACGTACACCAGTGCCCAGGCCTCCGTAATCACGGGACAGCGTGCCACACGACGCGTGACGACGGTGACACAAGTGCCCACGACGCTGTGACACGACACATGCCCACGGCGCCGTAACCACGTGACACAGTGCCCCACGCATACGCTGTGCACACGGGCACAGTGACTCACGACGCGTGACACGGACACAGTGCCTTGCCACGACGCTAACCCCGGACACGGGCCACGACCCCGTAACACGGGACACGGTGCCCCCAACGCCGTAACACGGGGACACGGCTGCCCACGCACCCGAACCCAGGGACATCGGACGCCCACGATCGTTGACGCCGTAACCACGGACACGGTGCCCTCGACCGCCCGTGACACAGGACAGCAGTGTCCACGACACTGATCGGTGACACAGTGGCCCACGACCCGTAACACGGAACAATGCCCTCGACGCCGTGGACACAGGGACACCAGTGACCCCCCGACCCTGGAACACGGTGACACAAGTGCGCACGACCTGTACACGTCGTGAACACAGTGCCACGACGCCGTAACCGGGCACGCGTGCAGCGTGCCCACGAGGCGGTGACACGTGACACAGTTGCCCACGACGTCCGTGACACAGGACAGCAGTGCCGCACGACGCTGTACACGGACACAGTGTCCACGTCCGTAACACGGGGACAAGTGTCCAGCACAGCCGCTGACACGGGACACCAGTGCCACGACGTCCGTGCACATGGGGACATCAGTGCCCAGGCACGCCGTGACACGGGGACAGTGCCACCGCCCGCGACGACGTTTGACACAGTGCCCGACGTCCGTGACACGGAAAACGGACCACGACGTCCGGCAAGGTACACGATTGCTCACCGACGCCGTGACGCACGGGGGAACACATGAGTGACCACTTGACGCCCGTGACATTCGGGACGAGTCCACTCGACGGCCGTGACATGTGACACAGTGCCCACGACGCACAGTGGCACGACAACGGTGCCGCCGACGCGTATCAACGATCCACGCTTGCACCTTCAGAATCAGAGCCGGTGCCGTGTGCCCTATTCATAGACGCATCGACGCACTCGTGCGGTAGCGGTTCACGTACGTACGTAACGACATTTTAATACCGAGTTGTGGAGCAAAACCATGCAGCGCGGCATCCTCGCGTGTTCTCGCCTGCACCCGGGTTGTGCGCCTACGTCCACTGTCTCGTTGCGTAAATTCAAATTATTTGCCCCTCCACTATCACGCGCGCGCCCTTTCTCTCTCCTCTCTACTCACTCCCCTCGCTCCCACCATCTCTCGCTATCTCTCCTCTCATCTCCCCTCTTTCGCTCTTTTCTCCCCCCTCTCTCTCTCTAGCTCTAAATTACGTTTCCTATGAATGCTAGAGTAAGCGAATCCGTGCGTGCCGTGCAATCGGAACGCATTCGCAGAGAAAAAACCGCGTGATCTATCTGTACAGTTTTTTACTCTTCGCAAATTAAACAACAGGCTGGAACGCATAGGTAGCGCCATTGCCTTTCTAACGCATAATTCTAGTTGTAGGATATAGAATAATTCCACGTAAATACGAACAAATTTCGTGAATTTCGTGAACAGTGGCAATTATCATGAAAATCGCTTTGCTCGTCCGGTTTCGAACGAATACAGCACCGTTTTATGACTGTGTATATGAAGCTAGTTAGCTCGTTGCATATCCATTAGACCCCTTAGCCCTCACAGTATTAGAACATACGAGTTCGTTGGATGTGCGGATTTATTTTTAGCATTCTGGATTCATATCGTGGACGTGGCATTGTGCAGTAGCACTATAACGTTATAAGTGCATCTTATCCATAATCTCGTATATTATCATGAATCTTATATTCGTTTATTTAGTTTTGTCTTCAATATTTAAGGTCATGCGCGGCACGTTCTCAACGTATACATTTTCGAACATGCAACTTATGCCTTCCTGGTAACACTCAACACCTCATCCTTCTGTATACCAATCATTTCTCCATTGCTGTGGGTAAGCGTAAACGAAATCGTGCCGATGTGATCACGTTTCACAGGTGGAAAGTCCTGTAATGCAACATGTCTCCAAGATGGCCTGTATTCTATAAATACGACAAAACGTCTCATATCAAGTCTCCTAGGATGTCCGTGTTTATAAATCATACTAGCCAAAACGCCTAACTTGTCAAATCTCTACCGATGGACCTGTGCTTATAAATGATGAGCAAAACGCCACATGTGCAAATGTCTCTAGAACTGCCTGTGATTTATAATGGTAGAAAAACGTCCTATATTGTGCAAATGTCTCTACGATTGACCTGTGGTCAATGAAAAGGTAAAAACTCAGTGTCCACTGCGTCTTTTACTCCCCTTGAACTAATGAGCTGTGAGCTATGGCATGTTTTTTGTTTTATGGTTGATTTTATCACATATAACATTCGATTTATCACATATAACATTCGATTTATCACATATAACATTTGATTTATTGCATATAACATTTGATTTATCGCATATAATATTTGATTATTTAATCATATGTTATATGCAATAAATCGACAATAATTCCCTGGCAAAAGTACAATTGCATCATTTGATACCATGCCTGTTAATTCGATTGTATTAGGCATTTACTGTTTTAAATGTTCACATTATTTGATTTGATTTTATATCAGAAAAGAGAATCAAACCATTCGATCCTGGCATCAAACCATTCGGTTTTGGAATCAAACCATTCAATTATGGAATAGAATCGTTCGATTTTGGAATCAAATTGTTGGATTTTTGTATAAATTTCAGGATCGAATGGTTCGATTCGAAGATCGAATGATTCGATTCCAAAATCAAACGATTCGAACTTTTCGACTGAAATTTATACCGGACCACGTTTCCGACTCTAGTGTCATCTATGAACAACTTGAGCAAAACGGCACTAGTTTAACTTTGGAGCATTTTTACATTATGATAATTAATAAAATTCTATAAGTATTATAGCTCATAATAAGCAGGAGATATCAAATAATCATGTTACAATCTATTCTTAGCATTTTGAGTTTGTAGTTTGTAGAGGTAGTTTTGAACAATGTTTATGTGCACACTAAAGTGCTTCATGAATTCCCCGGCTCGCACGCGCACCCTTTCGTCACAAGAGAATGTGCGAACCATAGAACTAGAATAGAACTTCTATTCTAGTTCTATGGTGCGAAAACGTCTGTTCCGTTCGTCAGGGTTGCACGCGTAGAAGAGAGCGAACTCGTGCTGCTCAGCAGCCGATCTCCAGGACAAACTGCATGCAGCGCCCCCTTCCCACACTCAGGATATAGAATTGAGCCAGAGCGAGAGCGCCATCTGTCGTGGAGTTTGTCTCCAGGAACAACGATCCGCGCCGTCTAGCGACAACTTTAATCGCCCGCGAATTATTGCTGAGGATTGTTATTACTGGCGGCCTAGGAGGGAAGCAAAGAATGTGCAGGCGTGGGTCCTAATATAAGTTCGCCACCCTATGTAGATGTGATACAAAGAAAAACAAAATAGACCGGGCTGCTTAAAAAATTCAATAAGTGCTATTTGACAAATTTCTTCTTTTTATCTCAATTAAACGTATGATATCTTGGGTAATCATGGGTTACAAAATCATTTTGGTGCATATTTCATTATAATCAGTATAAGACGTACGATATATTTGTGGACAAAGTCATTTTATTACATAAAAAAAGAAACCAACATTTAGTCTAAAATCAATCGACCAAACCTTATATCTAAAGATGCGAACCAAAAATGTAACTTTCTGGTACCTTTGACTTCAATACCGGGCACAACTAATATAGCTCGCATGAAGAACAGAAAAATACAGTTCGGCAGCAATGCTATATTCATTGGCTTACACAAGAATACAGGATTGTCTCAGCCCAAATGAACGCCGGGCCGTAGGAGTAGCGCCGGCGCGTGCACATTAAAAGTATAATGAAACACAAATTACACAAAAGGAAATGGAAATAAATTATATATTTCGTTGCATTCTGAGCGGGCCAGCCCATGCAGTCATGAGACGAACTTCGATCGCTCCAATCCCTCCACTCTCCTCCGCCCTCCCTCCTCTCCCTCCGTCATTACTCACTTACCACCTCAACCCCCTCCCTACCTCCCGACCTTCACTCACTCACAGACCAGCTTTCGATTGCCTCCCTCCGCATCCCCTGCCGCTCACCTCCTCCTCTCCCCCTCCGGTCTCCTCCAAGCTCCCGGTCTTCCCCCCAGTCGCCTGCCCTGCGCCTCCTAACCCTCCTCGTCTCACGCTTACTCACTTACCACATCGAGTCACCGCGGTCTCCACCTCCCTCACCACCTTCTCCCCCTTCTCCATCCGACCACCTCGCTTCCCCGTCGGGGCTCCTCCAGCCCGACCCGTTCCTCCCCCTCCTCTCCTCCTCGCCCTTCCCCTTACTCTTTGCCCTACGCACCGTCTTCGCGCCCTTCTTCGTTCACTCAAACATGCTTCTCCCCTCCATCTTAACTCCTCACATTCTCTCGCACTCTCCTCTCTACTCCTCCACCTTACTCCACGCCTCCTGGCCTAACACTGCTCACCATCTTCTACCCGTCTCACCATTCTTCTACTTCCTCTCTCGCCCCTATCCCCAACTCCTCGTCCGTCCTCGCACTGCAGCATTCTCCCGCCCTCATCTACCCTCCTCTCCGTAGTTGTTTGCCATCACCAAAATTAGCCGTCCTTCTCATCAGGGGTCGCACTCGGCTTCTTCACACACCGCAGTTCTCCAGGGAGGTTGGCGCCCCTCCTAGTACCTCCAGGTCAGCGTCTTCCTCTCCTGACCATCCTCTCACCTACTCCCATCTTCTACCTTCTCCCCTCTCCTCTACTCCCCCATCTTCTACTGGCCACTTACTCTCTCGAGATCCTCCTCCCTTCTTCTACTAGCGTTCTCCCTCCAACTACCGGCGGAATCTGTTCTTTCTCGCCTATCTTGCCCAACTCCCCGCGGCTTTGTTGCGAGTGTACCTAGTATGTGCGGCAGTGGTGCTGGTGTGCGCGGTGCGTGTACGTGGCGTGGCGTCGTGCGCGCGTGCCGTGCGTAGCGTCGGTCGGTGTGTCGCACCATGTTGTGTGTGCGTTGCGGGCGGTTGCGCGTGCGTGCGTTGGGACGTGTCGTGATGTGTGTATCCCCGTGCGTCGAACTGAGTGCGGTCGCGGTGCGTCGGGTGTGATGTGTGCGTGCTCGTAGGGTGTAGGTGTGCATGGTCGATGTGACTATGCGGTGGGCGTGATGTGTGTTGTGTATGAGTTGTGTAGGAAGTGCGTGCGTGCTGTGTGTTGCGGTGGGCGCAGCGCGTGTGTGCTTGTGTTGTTAGTGTGTTGTCGGTCGGTTGGTGGTGTATGTGTGTGTGTACGAGGCCGTCGCTGCTTGTTCC